TTTTACAATGAGCAAAACCTTGAAACCCTAATACACCACAACCCTTAAACCTTATATGTAAACTACGAAGCCATGAACCCTAAAGCCTGCATAAGCCTTACACCTTTAGAAAATTTAAAACCTTCAACCCCATACACCTTGAACTCTGGACCCCACCGGCTTTTGTTTTGTAGTTCTAACTGTTTATAGAGGGCTCTACTACATTTATTTTTATTATACCATATATGCATATCTAAAAACACTCTATAAATGCATTCCCATACAATATATATTATATATAATTGCTATACTATACGTATAATAATGATGACCACAACCCTTCGTGCACCCCAAACCTTAAACCCTGAACCTGTGCACCTATATATATATATATATATATATATATATATATATATATATATAACCCCAAACCCCAAAGCCTCAAACGACGAAGCCCTGAACCCTAAAACCTTCAAGCCTCAAACCCTTAAGCTTGAACCCTAAACCCCTTCGGCTTGTCTTTTCTTCTGTGGGTGGAGCGAGGAGAACTACACGAAGTCCGAGGCGACCAACAAGAAGAAAACCCTGGGCAAAATCTTGCTTCAGGGGAAATTCAATCTTAGCAATGAGCAGTTCGAAGCCGCACTCGAGAGTGGCGAGATCATCGCTGTCCGTTCCAAGAACGGACCCGATCGTTACATGTGGTCCGAGGATGTGCACAACTCCACTTCAGGGAAGGAGAAGAAGTTTTCCATGGGCTCCGATGCCAAAGCGAAGGATGGCGAGGCCAAGTTCTTCGAGAAGCAGTCCAAGGATTGGAGGATTGGTTTGTTTGAGGAGAAGAGCGAGGGCAAAGCAAAGCCCCAGAGAGCTCTGACAAATGACTCAGAGCAGCTCGCAATCTGCGATGGTACCGTGGCCGCCAGCAGGAACATGACGGAGAAGCTGTGGAAGGCAGCAGATGGGCAGCTTACAAAGGCGATCGCGGCCTACAATAAGATCCTTGTCGAGGGCAGAAAGTTGGTTGCTTCCGTGGATGAGAAGCAGGACAAGGACATGTACCAGAGTGTGCGACTTGGACTGGTTTTGTATTCCTGAAACAACCTTGCCAAAAGCTTCAACTTTTTTATCCTCGCAAGTAAAGTCACCAATTTAACTCGTAAGTAAATACATGGAGGCTTCAACCTTTGTCTTCGCAAGTAAAGCACAAACTTTAACTCGTAAAAGTAGTCTCTTCAACAACAGTCGCATGTAACCAAAGTGTTGTGCTTTCTCTCGCAAGTAAACCCAGTGCCCGAACACCGAAACCTGTGTGAGACCCCACAGCTGTAAGGAAGAGCATCGTCCAACAAGCAACAAAATCGAAGCAGGGACTTGAGCACCTTCTCTCGTGGCACGAGTACGAGGATGAGAATGAGGACGGGCCGATCACGATCTCATCATATTCCAAGACCATGAGAGAGTCCGGGCGAGTAGCAACTCATCTCGAAGAACAAATGGCAGCCGTGAAAGCCAAGTTGACTGTCCGAGCCAAAAAAGGATGCTAGACAGATTTTGAATGTGTGCAGTTCCGGAGCTGTCGCCTCTATGTGGTGCAAACGGCGATTCTGAGTTTTGGCGATGAGAGAAAAAAGCAACGGCGATGATGAGAGCTTGAGATTTGGCGCTTTTCTGGTGATTTTTACATGTGAGCAACGACGTGTATAACTATAACCTTTTGAATCATGTTGGGGTGTTGGTCTTCGTGACTTTCAGCTTCAATTTTAGAGTATATATAACACCGATGGTGTTGTTGTAGCCTGCTTTGCATGTGTGAGTGCACACATGTGTAAAGCTATACCTCCGAACCTCAAGCATTGAATCAACCATGAAAGTCCATACCTCCAAAACCCTGTGAAGCTCACAACACAACCTTCGTAACCCCAAACCCTGAACCCTCTATAAACCCTTAAATCCTGAACCTTATATATAAACCCTCACAAGATTTGTTTCGTCCAGATTGAGGGGCAGTGGACCGTGTGGTTTAGGGGGTTTGGGTTTTGCGGGGTTGGGGCAAAAGCTTTCTGTTGTTGTTTGTATAGTATATTTGGTGCCCACACATATATGTATAACTTGCTCACAAGCCTCAGCCTCAATGCTCGGTGTGTCTGACCATGTGTGTCCCGTCCTTATAAAATGTTTTATGGCTATAGCGAACAAACCACTGTATGAAATAAGGCACAAAAGTTCAGCTGGCAACAAACACCAACTTTGCATAAAGGTGCTGTTCTGTTTATTTATATATGGAGAGAAGGTACCATGGAGGATGCAGGGCCCGAGCGAAAGCGACGAAAGGGTGGGGTCCAACAGAGATTGGGCCAGGCGGTGAGTGAGAAGTCCACCTCAAGTTCTTTGCACGATTTGCTGATGACGTATTTGGCACAAGGCCTCCTGTCGGCCTCTATGATTCATGCAATTGCAGTTGCAGCGGCTGCCGATATTAGAAATGCAAGGGACGGGAAAATTCTTCCTGATTTGGACAGGCTCAGCAAGGTGAAGCATGGAAAAAATTTGCAATCTTCTATTGACAACCACTTGGCCCAGCAGTCCAATCTTCCGATGCCGACAGAATTTAATATCCCCTTAGCAGGACAAGTCGAAGGCACGGCGACTTCCATGATATTGCTTCCGCACGAGATTATGCACCACCTTTGGAAGACGACGACTGGATGGATTACTTCTGTGTTGCCTGATGCGGAGGCTTTGCCTCGGTTTTGGAGATCGTTCAATGGACACCCTTGCATGTCAAATCATGCGGTAAAATCGCGAGCTAATTGGATGCAAAGGGCTATTCCCCTTTGCATACACGGCGACGAAGTTCCTGTTTTTGGAGTGGGCAAGATATGGGCTCGCAGTGTTTTGGCTTTTTCATGGGTATCGCTGATGGCCACAGCGGCCGGCCGATCTGCTGCCGATTGCAACCTCTACATTTGGGGCGTTTTTGAGAAGTTCATTATTCCGGCTGGCGGCGAGGGGGCTGGGACAATGGAAACTTTTTGGCAAGTGATGTATTGGTCTTTCAACATTCTTTACACCGGTAAATGGCCTGCTCGGGATTGGCAAGGCAAGAAGCAGCCTGGTGTGTTGTTGTATATGTACACATGTGCCAGAAATCTGGAAACCCTTACATTTTAGGACCCTGTGGGAACCCTATAAGCTGTAAGCCTTTTTGTCTTTCTTGATTTTTTATGATGTGGGTCCTGTTTTAGATATGTGACTATATACATACACACCCTATGTATGAGAGCCCTGTTCTCAAATCCAACCCTAACCCAACAGCTTCCTTGATGGTGATGATATATATATATATATATACACAGTATATAATATCGTATAAACATATATAAGCCACAAAACCACGGACCCGTGGAATCCCAAAGCAGCACGAACCGGATGTGAGAAAAATCACCACACAGTATACGTAAAAAACCCTCTCACCACATGTAGATATATATATGTAGATATATATGAACCTGTCTCACAAGTAAGAAAATGTTTGTTACACGGCACAGAGGTATGGGGCCAGTACAAAGGAGGGCGAACGAGCGGGAACCGACCTATGCGGAGGATATTATGGTGTCCTGGTTCAAATGGCTGGCGACTTGGATTATTATGCGAAATGGCTGGAGGTTCCACGATGGAGCAATCACAGCAAACCTTGTGCTCTTTGTCGGGCCGCCTTCAAAGGACCACTAACATGGATGGACAATCGTGCAAATTCGCCGTGGCAAGCCTCGTGCCTCACCACCACCAACTGGAGATCCCACTGGAATCCATCATGCCAGCTGTATTCTTTACCTGGCTTTTCGGGACTTTGTATCACGATGGACTATATGCATTGTATGTTTTTGGGGTGGATACAGTTTTTTTATGGCTCCGTGCTCAGCATCGTGGTCCACGATTGTTTGGGTGGGAGTATCTTGGCGAATTTGAAATACTGCGACTCCTTCATCAAGAAGTACCAGCGAGACAACGAAACCAGATACACATTCCGCCAGCGACTTCTGAAACTTACAATGATACAACCAAAAAAAGGATTCCCCAAGATGAGAGGAAGAGCTTCCGATATTCAATCTTTGGACAGTGCAATTCTTGCTCTATTCGAAGAGCAAATGGACGAGGGTATCTATCAACACAAGCAAATCCGGCTCTTTTTGCGGTTGAACCTGCAGCTGGCTGAAATATTGGAAGCTTATGGGCCACGGTACGGCTTCTTGGCTTTACCTGAGGAGCAAGCAAACCTGGCTTTCAAGCTCGGTTGCCAAATGGCACAGCTCCACAGCAGCCTGCAAGCCCACTACAAAGGGACGGGGGAGAAGCTCTTCAATCTCACAAGTAAGACCCACTTCGTTTTGCATAGTCTCCTACTCAGCAGTTTTATTCATCCGTCGATGGTCTGGTGCTACAAGGGAGAGACGACGATGCATCGCCTGCAGATTCTATGGAAGAGTTGTTTGGCAGGGGTGAAGCACTGGCATGCTTCCAAAAAGGCTGCCCTCAAAGAGAGGCACCTTTTGTTTCTGCGGGGCAAAGTTGGGCGATCGTGAGAGCTTCTTTCTTTTCTGTCGCGAAAAAAAAGAGTGTCTCTCTGCTATATGTGGTGCTCCTGGTCTTTTGTTTGGGCTTTTGAATCACAGTTGTCGTATATACTGGTGTGGATCTTATAAGCAATCTGCATGGATTCTCTTTGGTTAGTTTATGGCTTTGGGCCTGCGAATTTTCGGAAAAGTCCTTACTTCTGCTGTGGATCCTTTACATGTGGTGTCTGCGATTGCAGAGCAAAACAAACTCATGCCGGTGATTTTTTTAAATCCTTTACATGTGGTGTCTAAGTTTGCAGCCGCAAATATGAGTTCCATGTTTGTGTTTGCATAATGTTTTTATGTGTTTTGTCATGTTTTTAGCTCACCAGAAAATTTACGTAAATTTGGTCATTTTACACTAAATCCTTCGTTTACAGTAAATCAAGCCAAAGTGTAAAATTAGGTAAACAGCAGACTCAGGGCAGAGTGGGCCAGGATGCCCTCGATGTCTGCCTTCGGAATGCGAACAATGCCAAAGTACTGCTCATGAGTGTCGTTGCGCTGCTTTTCCAGGACCCAGGCAAAAGTGTCGAGCACCTTGATCCTTTGGGCCGCGACCCAGTCTACAGCGGCCTTGGAGGCGTTGCCCCCGAAAGCCTTCCAAGTGTCGGCTGAGGCGAACTGCTTTGGCACCTTAAAGTAGACGACTGCACTTTCAGTGGGTTTGATCTTGATGGACGTTTGGCTCAGGCCGGTGGGCTGCGGAGCATGGCCACTGGCACCTGCAGACGTGAGCTTCTGGACCTTAGCAGTCCTGAAGACCAGGCGATCCCCAATGGTGCCCGGAATGCGCTGGGCCTCCTCATCCTTGGATAGGAAAACAAGCAGGGCCTTGAAGCTCAGCCCGCTCCCCCGCAGAATGTTCGTAGCAAGCGTGACCTGGTCGGCCGAAACAAAGACTACAAGTTCGAGGACCTTGCTGGCATCAGCCTTGTCAATGAACTCAGCTAGGGCAGCGTACTCGACGACCGGAGCGTCCCAATCAGATTTTCGAAGCTTGAAGGCGCCTTCCGGAGCCTTGCGCCGGACGATCTGCCAGCCATCACCGGCTTCCTGCCCGCCTGCCTCACCACCGCCGCCCTTGCCCTTGCCCCGGCGTTGACCTGAGTCGCCTGGGCCACCGCGCTGGGCCACCTTGGCTGGGCCAGACTTGTCTTCAGGCTTGCCCTTGCCTTTGGCTGCGCTCTGGCGGCCACCTGCACGCTCGCCGCCCGAAACGTCGGGGTTGCCACCTGGGTGGCTCGTGGCCTGCCCTTTGGCTCGAGCTGCACGTCTGGATCGCCGGACGGCCGGGCAGCAGCCAAGCCCCGGCCGAGATTGAGCGACGCCAGGGCCTGCTTTACTGCCTCGTCAACTGCCTTCTGGATCTGCTCCTTGATCGACTTCATGATGCTATCGCCAAGGCTATCCCCAAGGTTGCCAAGGTCAAGGTTGAAACCAGGCCCAGGGTGAGAGGCCTCACCCAGGCGGCATCCCCTCTTCCAGTCGTGGCACACACAAAGCATCGGCTCGCCTGCAGGGGCCCGGCGGCCTGTCACGCAGCACCTAGGTGCACACTCAAACCCTAGGGGGCCTAGCGGCGCCGGGGCCGGCTGCTGGCGTCGCGGAGGACCTAGAACCCAAAAAAAAAAGGGGGATGGCATCCAGCACCTCGGTTCGTAGGCTCAGCAGGGCCCGGGTGTGAAGCTTCGCCGAACCTAAACCCCAAATGCCAGTTCCAGGTAATCACTGCTGGTGGGCCTCGCGGACCCGGGTGCTTTGCCTCACCCACACGGACACCTTGCAGGAATGCAAAGCAGCGCTGGAGAGCAGGAAGCCCAAATTGCACACACACCGGGAGGCACGGAAGGGATTTCTGCACAGGCTGCACATGATCCACACTGGCACTAGGATATGCATGCGCTTGCGGCACCGTCCAGATGGGGCCGCCAAGAAAATCCGTGCCACAGCTCTGCTCAATCACACTGCCACCTTGGGCCGTGGCGCCCAGGGGGCCCCCGAGGAAGTCCACACCTGCCGGTTCGCAAGAGGCAGGGGACTGACACTGACATGCAGGCCGAGAGCTGCAGCACCGAGGCCATGGCGGCAAGGAGAGCTACTCTCGGAGGGGGCCCCGAACGGGCCGGTCTGGGAAAACATGTTACCAAGGAGGCAGGGAGAGGCCGGGCTAGGTGGCTCTTTGTCCTTCCACGGATCTTCTTTGATTTTTCGCGGTTCTCGGGTCGGGGCCCTTACGCTACTACATCTGGCCGCCGGCTGCCAAGGAAGAGCAGCGTCGCCATGGTTGGTCGCCTCCACTTCGGGAGGCCCAGCCAGCTCCGCATCCTCCTCAATCTCGCCAGCAGCCGGCTGCGTCACCAGCTCAGCGTCCGCACCAGCACCAGGTCGCCCACCAGAAGGCGGCAGCGCTGCTGCCACTTGCTCCCGGCTGCCCCGCTGGCGATAGGCCTCCGCCGGAGCAAGGCCAAAGTCCCCGTCAGCAAACCACAGGGTAGTGCTTGGGAAATGTCCCATCGCCTGGAGGCGCTCCACCCAAGGGGGGTCGCCATCACACCGCTTTGTCAGCTGCTCGGTCCAGAGAAGAACGAGGGCTTCACGTACACGAAAGAGCTCATCCACAAGCACAGCCGATCCCACAACTGCACTGGCATCCTCATTGAGCCTTTCCAGGAAGTCTTCGATAGAAGCATGCTCACCCTCAAGCATAGCTTTGAGAACATAGTTGCGCGGTGCAACTCCCCTGAACTTTCTGTAGCTGACAGGTAGGGTCAGCTGAGTACTCGACGTCGCGGCCTCCATGGCCGCCAAATCCATCATCCTTTTCCGCTCAGCACCCACAGCGCCTCCCGAGGAAGGAGCCATGGCACAGTCGAGACAGACTTAGCCACCGAGCCTACCTACGGTGTTGTCCAGCTTGGAACTCGCGGAGTTCCTGTCTCGGGCCCAAGCTACGTGTTCTCACGCCTAACTGCGGTTCAGGCAAGACTCGGGCATCGCAACGAAGTCCCGATCTGCGCGTCCAGTAACGTCTTTGGTTGTCGGTTGTGAGACCGAACCTAAAAGTTCAAACATGAAGCTGACAAGCAGAGGACATGTGACAGCTGTACAATCCAAGGTGCTTGAAGCTGAGGCATGAAAGACCAAACAAACTAGAGTCGTTGAGGCCATATTAGCCGAAACATGGGAAACTAAGGCTCAGGAGAGCCGAGAAGAAAAGGGAGCCTTTGGCTCGGGTTTGCTAAAAGGAGAGGTGCAGGGCTACACAGCAAGCACAAACTGCCTAGCGAGAGCCTAAGCAGCATCGAAGTGACGTGCGGAGCAGCTGTACACCTCTACGGCTTCAGATGGACTCGACGTAGGAACTCAGAGGGACACAGCAGCGCGCCTCAGCCAGCAGCCCACGCCCCGCAGCACGCCACCGCAGCCAGCAGCCAGCGGCGGCAGCCAGAAGGAGCGGTGCAGCACGTAGTTCCCCGAGGGAGCCACCGTAGAAGCCGTCAACGATGCAAATGTTCAGTGTCGTAGCGAGTTTCACGGATCATCTTGAATGATACGAGCCGGCCGCCTCGCACGAAGGTGCTGCGCCAAGACATTGGAGGCACCAGCAGAAGCCAAGATGGCCCCCCGCTCCCAAAGCGCTGCACGATGAAGCTCTGCATGCCAGCTCACCCTGCCCGATCCACGAGCCCGGTGCTCGCGAATGCTGTTGGCAGCCGCATCGGCCCGGTCGTTGAGGTCCCTGCAGCGGTCGGCCGTTAGGCCCCAGGGAGCAGTCCAGTTGGGCCGCCGACCATGTGCAGGAGTCCACGAAAGCTTCAGGTCCAAGCCACCGGTACGCACATCACGGAGTAGCCTCGCAGCCTTGTGAGCCAAAAGAGGCATGGAGCACGCCTCAGGTTGAGCCACAGCCTGAAGAGCAGAGCTGCAATCCACCAGGATGCCAACCTGACAGCCTGGGGCCAACTGCGCACGAGAGATCGCCTCGAAGAGGGTCGTCAAAGTGAGGAGCTCACATCGGAAAGCCGACTGGTCCTCACAGGCATCACCGAAGACGAAGGTGCCATCGCCGCTTCCGAAGATCACGGCACAGCCGCCGACATCAAACTTAGCACTGCCATCGGTCGCGATGAGCAGACGCTCGCCCACAGTAGCGAAGTTGCGAAGATGCGCCACAATGCTCTGAAGGGTGTTTTCAAAGTCCGAAGCTGCAGGAGCTGCAGGGTACTCAGTGATTTCGGCCGCAAAGAGCCGTTCACCAGCACGGGTGGTAGGAGGTGCGAGACCTTGCCGCACTCCCGTCGTTGAGGAGCAACACCAGGTGAGATGCGCTCGGCTGGGCTGCAAGAGGCCACACACACACGCCGTGGTGTCGGGTGAGCTCATCTCCAGCCGTTTGCAGTGGTACCAGATGGAGCCGCCCGAGCCCAGTGCTGCAAGGCGAACTTCACGTGTAGGCTCAGCCGCAACTGCGAGTCGGTGGCCTTCAAGTGCAAACCGGGCACTGCGGAGTGGGGCCCCCAGGCTGAGACCACGGGCCAACGTTGCATCATCGCGGTGGCCACGATTGCGGATCCGCCCACACGAATGCACGCCCTGCCACTTGTAGTGGTCCACAAGCCAGCGCTTGACCACATCAAAGGATTCCCAGCCAAGGTGGCACTGACGGAGGGTACCGGAATCGTCGAGGCGCGCCAGGGTGGCGCCGTTGCCATGGACCTGCCAGCCTAACCTCTGCACAACCGCCGCCGCACCAGGGAGGAAGCGACGCCAGTCACCACAAGCAACATCGAGCCCAGCCGTGTCGAGCCATGCCGGGGGCCGAGCCTTGAAACGCCAGGCAGCCCGCAGGGATGCCCAGTCCGCCGCCCATTCAGGGTCCAACATCCAGCCAAAAGAGGCACACAGCAAGACTTTAGGAGACTCGAAGGTGGCGTGCTTTTGCAGGACAGCACAAGTGGAGTGCCAGACGTCGCGCAAGCAGTCGCGGTCCGGGCAGGCGGCACCACCAGCCCAAAACATGGCCGAGTGGACCAGCTGCAGCACGATGCGACGGAGCTGGGGCACCTCCCCTCCCAGGAGCTTGAGGAAGCGAAGGCGATGCAAGAGTAGGCGCGGGCTGAACTTAAGGAGCCCCAGGGCACCCTCCTGCACGTCGAGGGTGATGCCCAGCACCTTTAAAGTAGTCACGCGTGGGTAGCTCCTGGCACTGGCCCACTGATCGAAAGTCCCGACATCGGGTGGACACACTACAGCACACTTGCTGGCACGGCACTGGAAACCGAAGGCTTGGTCGAAGGAGTCAGAAGCCCTCAATGCCACATCCATTGCCCCAAGAGGGTCCGCACACGTGCAGGAAGGCCACAACACCCGGTCGTCTATAAAGATGAGGCAGTCGGTGCGTCCCTTGGCAAAGGACTGGACCCACATGGCCCAGATATGGCCGACCGCAACCGCGGCCATTGGAGAGAGTGGGCATCCCTGCGCCAGGCCCCGCGCCGGGCTGCCCCATGCACTGCTGGACCGGCCCTCGTGCAGAAAAAGCCTCGAGGCATCCTGGTAGAAGGAGGCTAAGAGCTCAGCGAGGCCAGCAGGAGCACCAAGGTGCCGGAGCACCATACCCACCGCCTTGACATCAAGAGAGTCGAAGAACCGCGTGAGGTCCTGCTGGCAAAAGACTTTGCCGCCGCTCTGCCACGCATGAAAAAGCCGGGCATGAGCGTCGCCCGGGCCTCGACATGGTGCACCGCCCAAGGTGTGGTGGCCCAGCCATATGTCCATCCACGGCAGCACATTGCGAGAGATGCAGTGGGCACCCGCTCGCCAGATGACAGGGCACAAGGCGATCGGTCGGTATTCATCCAGGCGCTTCGGCACCAGGGCAATCAGTGCCCGGCGCCAGAGTCGAGGGACGTACTTCGTGGAGAGCACCGCATTCCACAGAGTGGCCGCCGCTTCCCACCACTGCACTGGGAGGCGGAGCAGAAGCTCCGCTGGCCATCGGTCAGGGCCCATCGCTTTCCCCCGCATTGCCTTGGTGGCCCGTATCAGAGCCTCAGCCTCGACCTGGAGCACAATGTCCGATTGCGGCCCGCCCGGGACACGGTCAAGGATGCGCTGCACGGCATCGAAGTTGACAGGGGACTCCGGCTTCCAGTGCTGCAGCCACACTTTACCATGCTCCTCGACAATAGAGGCAGGGTGAACAGAGGAAGGGACACCAGCAGGTGCCTGAGGAGATTGCTCCATGGCCAACTGATGGTCAGCTTTGCGCTTGACCCAGGCGAGGGCACGAGAGGGATCCTCCTCAACACGGCGACGCCACCTGTGCACTCTGGCCTCCGTCTCCTGCTGCTGAAGCTCGGCATGCAAATGAGAGATCACCTGGGTGGCACCTGCAAGGTTGGCAGCATGTATCACAGGGAGGTCGGGGAAAGTGGCACGCAGGAGCCCAGCCCGGCGGCCCACCGCACGCCACAGCTTCTGACAGTGGGGCTGTTGCCGCAGTTGGTGCAATTGCCCAAGCAACTTGCGAGATGAACGGAGGGACTGGGACTCATGACCCTGGGGGCCGACACGATGGTGAGACTCGGGGCGGGCACAAGGGAGCCAGTGGTCGCTCCTGCGGGCACCGGAGGCATCGAAGAGCGAAGTGGCACCCAGCGTGCGCTCGGCCACGTCTGACAAGAAAGCCCAGGCTTCATCAAGAGCCCCACCTGCAATAGAACTCTCAAAGTGTGCGGCATCCCAGACCCTACCAAAGTTAGACAGGATGTCTTCAGTGGCCGTGGCAGGGAGCTCACGAAACTTAGGCATGGAGAAGCTGTCGGCACGGCTCAGGCACCGCGTTTCGTAGAAGACGCACCCGTGGTCCGAAAGGTCCGGGCGCTCGAACTGCTTGACAGCCGTCGCAATGATTGACCAATGGGCCAGGCCAAAATCAATGCGCCGGGTGCGCGTGGGATTTGTTGGGCCGGCTTGGGTCCAGTCCGCCTCATCCAGAGACCGGAGCTCGCCATCGCACAACAGCTGCACTACAGCTTGCTCAGACTGGTCAACATTGAAATCGCCGAGCAAGATGTAGGGGCCGCCGAAGGTCGCAGTTGCACGCCTAACCTCACCTAAGGCCTGGGCTGTGGCGGCTGGCTGACCAGGGAAGCCGTAGAAGGCTACCACAAGGGTGATGCACTTGCTGCCAGCAGCCTGCATCTCAAAAGCACCTGCAGCACAGCGCGCAGCCACATGCGGAGGAAGCTTAAGGTTCACACGATGCATGGGGAGGGAAGCGACCAGTGCCACCCTATGCACACCCTTGGCAGCATCAATGTCGCTGAGAACAGCCCGATAGCCATGGGCACGCCAGCGCTCACCAAAACCCTGGGCCGACAAAGGGTTGATGTCAGCCTCCTGAAGAGACAAGAGCTCAGCCCCACACGACTGGAGGAAGTCGGCACACAGGTTCACTTTGGAGATGGCCGTTCGGTTCGCATTGATGCTCAAAAGCTTGATGAACACGGCGAGGAGGGGATTCGCATGGAGATGGCAAGCTTGGCAGCCGCGGCAGCACGGAGCACCTGGGAGCAGAAGTCGGGATCACCTCCGGCACGCCGGGCCCACGCCTCGATGGCATCAAGTTTTTGGATCCGCTTCTGGGTGTTGCTCTGCGACTTGCACCGGCCCTCGCTATGCTGCTTGGCGGCAGCCAGGTCCCTGGTGCACTCACCGCACCGGAGGCACTTCCAACCATGCTCAAGGAGGACATGCTTGACCCGGGTGCTGCGTTTCTCACACCTGGCTCGAGGCCACACAAAGAGCTGCATCTGGTCCCCAAAGCGAGGGGTCCTGACTTGAGCGAACACGGCCTTGGTGAGGTTGCGCTGGCGGCACCCTTTGGCATGCACCTGGCGATCCTTGGGCCCGGTTTGCGGGAGTGCCGCAAGACGCTGCCACTCAGCCTTGGAGACCTCGGGGTGGGCCTGTGCACGATGCTGGTTGCGCAGGGCATAGTAGGAGAATCGAGAAAGGTCCTTCCGAGTCTCGTGCGTAATGCCCTTGTTGCAGAAAGGGCAACACCAGATGAACTGAGCCCTTGGGCCGCAGACCCGCGTAAGCTTGGGTCGCCCGATGTCCGGCTGCAGGCCCTGCCCCTCATGGGCACGCTGGTAGTGGTTGTGGCGGATGTGGTAGTACTGGTGGTTGCTCGTGGCCTTGCGCTTGTAGGGGCACAAGTTGCACCGAAAGGTGAGGTCAGCCGGTGCCGTGGCATGGGCCAGCCAGGGACAGCGCTTCGGGGGCACACGAGCTCGCTCAAACTCGGATTCATCGAAGGCCTCGATAGTGCCAGTAGAGGTGCAGGTGAAGACGGACGAAGTGCACAGCTCTACCGCCTTGCGCTTGGTGCCTGAGGGCCTTGCCTGGGCCGTGGCCTGTGATGACCTCGCCTGTGGCTCGCCCCTGGGCTTGGTCTGGGAACCATGCAATGCCTTTGCCTTGCACCTGGCACTGAGTGGGCCCGGCCGGGAAAGGGCCTGCACCTTTGCCTGCGACGGCACCCGGCTGCCTGAAGACCTTGCCTGTGAAACCTGTGACCTGGGCCGCCTACCTTGCAAAGAGGGCTGGGCTTCGATCGAGGGCCGCCCCGCAGCACTCCCCGAGGCGCTCGCCGGGATCGAGGTGGTCCAGACGGATGCCGGGCGAGCCTGGGATTTTGCCCCTTCGCCGTCCATGACCGAGGTCCACTGAGAGGAAGGCTGGGATCGAACACAGGCAGCAGAGGAGGCAGTGAAGACCGATGGGGGCCCACGGCCACCTGCACGCAGCCCAAAGACGGGTCCAGCTGTGATCTGGGCATACTCACTGGGATACTTCTTGTGACCCTCAGGCGGGAGCATGAGATCTACGTGGTTATCCTCGTACCACAACACCAGCATCTTGGCAGCTTTGCTATGAAAAGCGTAAGGAGAAAAGTTGAGGCCCGCCGGCAGCACGACGATTTTGATGTCCAGCACACGGCCCAGGGCCCTCAGCTCGACATCCGAGCAGTATGCCCCCTCCTTCTCCATAAGAGTGAGGTAGGCCGAAAAGTCCCGGTCCTTGACCGGCTCACTGTCCGGCCCTTTGCCGTCCCATTCCTTCTCGTACTGGGTGACATGCCGGCGCATGTGTTCGACCATTTGCGCACGGAGCATGCGCGGGTGATTGGGCCGAGAGTCACCAAGCCATTGAAGGCCGAGGCTTATTGCGTGCAGCACGCAGGCTCCGTCACGAGGGCATGCCTTAAGCTGGAGGTCACCTGGCTTGGTGCGCACCTCCTGCTTGACACGTTTCTGCTGGGGCACTTCCTTGCCGTCCTCGCCCGTAGCCAGCTCCCCCGTGGGAGGTTTGACAATGGTGGCAACGACAGGCTGCTCGAGAGCAACGACCGGGACGGCCTTCGAGGCGAGAGGCTTCTGCTTCTTGGAGACGACACGGAAAGGTGCCAGCGTTGCCCACAAGGACAAGGGCTTCTCCTGATGCTCGACGACGAACGGCACCAGGTCCGTGTCTGCGGTTCCAGGTTGCCCGCGGAAGCGAAAGCAGGACCCGAGGCGAGTGCGCCGATGCGACAGGATGGTGTACTCAGTGAAGCGTGTGGCCAAGAGCTGGCCGACGGCATCCGCATCCCACTCGTGGGGCACACCATCGATGTGCCAGATGCGCACCGTTGCTTCTCCAGCTGCCATGGCACTTCGCCACGCCAATCGCCCCCCATTGACGACCAAACCCAGGCTGGAAGCCTGGCGCAGGGCACGTTCAAAGTAGGCGTCCACCTTCTCGCCGGGGAGCTTCTCGATCCATTGGAGCTTCGCCCGGGGCCCTGAGGTGCGAGCGGCATCCACGAAGACACCGTCCTTGCCAGAGTGGGCTAGGATGCCCTCAATGTCTGCCTTCGGAATGCGAACAATGCCAAAGTACTGCTCATGAGTGTCGTTGCGCTGCTTTTCCAGGACCCAGGCAAAAGTGTCGAGCACCTTGATCCTTTGGGCCGCGACCCAGTCTACAGCGGCCTTGGAGGCGTTGCCCCCGAAAGCCTTCCAAGTGTCGGCTGAGGCGAACTGCTTTGGCACCTTAAAGTAGACGACTGCACTTTCAGTGGGTTTGATCTTGATGGACGTTTGGCTCAGGCCGGTGGGCTGCGGAGCATGGCCACTGGCACCTGCAGACGTGAGCTTCTGGACCTTAGCAGTCCTGAAGACCAGGCGATCCCCAATGGTGCCCGGGATGCGCTGGGCCTCCTCATCCTTGGATAGGAAAACAAGCAGGGCCTTGAAGCTCAGCCCGCTCCCCCGCAGAATGTTCGTAGCAAGCGTGACCTGGTCGGCCGAAACAAAGACTACCAGTTCGAGGACCTTGCTGGCATCAGCCTTGTCAATGAACTCAGCTAGGGCAGCGTACTCGACGACCGGAGCGTCCCAATCAGATTTTCGAAGCTTGAAGGCGCCTTCCGGAGCCTTGCGCCGGACGATCTGCCAGCCATCACCGGCTTCCTGCCCGCCTGCCTCACCACAGCCGCCCTTGCCCTTGCCCCGGCGTTGACCTGAGTCGCCTGGGCCACCGCGCTGGGCCACCTTGGCTGGGCCAGACTTGTCTTCAGGCTTGCCCTTGCCTTTGGCTGCGCTCTGGCGGCCACCTGCACACTCGCCGCCCGAAACGTCGGGGTTGCCACCTGGGTGGCTCGTGGCCTGCTTGGCCTTACGTTTCCTCTTGCGCCTGCCCTTTGGCTCGAGCTGCACGTCTGGATCGCCGGACGGCCGGGCAGCAGCCAAGCCCCGGCCGAGATTGAGCGACGCCAGGGCCTGCTTTACTGCCTCGTCAACTGCCTTCTGGATCTGCTCCTTGATCGACTTCATGATGCTATCGCCAAGGCTATCCCCAAGGTTGCCAAGGTCAAGGTTGAAACCAGGCCCAGGGTGAGAGGCCTCACCCAGGCGGCATCCCCTCTTCCAGTCGTGGCACACACAAAGCATCGGCTCGCCTGCAGGGGCCCGGCGGCCTGTCACGCAGCACCTAGGTGCACACTCAAACCCTAGGGGGCCTAGCGGCGCCGGGGCTGCTGGCGTCGCGGAGGACCTAGAACCCAAGAGGGGAAAGGGGGATTCCAGCACCTCGGCTCGTAGGCTCAGCAGGGCCCGGGTGTGAAGCTTCGCCGAACCTAAACCCCAAATGCCAGTTCCAGGTAATCACTGCTGGTGGGCCTCGCGGACCCGGGTGCTTTGCCTCACCCACACGGACACCTTGCAGGAATGCAAAGCAGCGCTGGAGAGCAGGAAGCCCAAATTGCACACACACCGGGAGGCACGGAAGGGATTGCTGCACAGGCTGCACATGATCCACACTGGCACTAGGATATGCATGCGCTTGCGGCACCGTCCAGATGGGGCCGCCAAGAAAATCCGTGCCACAGCTCTGCTCGATCGCACTGCCACCTTGGGCCGTGGCGCCCAGGGGGCCCCCGAGGAAGTCCACACCTGCCGGTTCGCAAGAGGCAGGGGACTGACACTGACACAGGCCGAGAGCTGCAGCACCGAGGCCATGGCGGCAAGGAGAGCTACTCTCGGAGGGGGCCCCCAACGGCCTTGTCTTAGAAAACATGTTACCAAGGAGGCAGGGAGAGGCCGGGCTAGGTGGCTCTTTGTCCTTCCACGGATCTTCTTTGATTTTTCCCGGTTCTCGGGTCGGGGCCCTTACGCTACTACATCTGGCCGCCGGCTGCCAAGGAAGAGCAGCGTCGCCATGGTTGGTCGCCTCCACTTCGGGAGGCCCAGCCAGCTCCGCATCCTCCTCAATCTCGCCAGCAGCCGGCTGCGTCACCAGCTCAGCGTCCGCACCAGCACCAGGTCGCCCACCAGAAGGCGGCAGCGCTGCTGCCACTTGCTCCCGGCTGCCCCGCTGCTGCTGGACACTTGCATCGCGATAGGCCTCCGCCGGAGCAAGGCCAAAGTCCCCGTCAGCAAACCACAGGGTAGTGCTTGGGAAATGTCCCATCGCCTGGAGGCGCTCCACCCAAGGGGGGTCGCCATCACACCGCTTTGTCAGCTGCTCGGTCCAGAGAAGAACGAGGGCTTCACGTACACGAAAGAGCTCATCCACAAGCACAGCCGATCCCACAACTGCACTGGCATCCTCATTGAGCCTTTCCAGGAAGTCTTCGATAGAAGCATGCTCACCCTCAAGCATAGCTTTGAGAACATAGTTGCGCGGCGCAACTCCCCTGAACTTTCTGTAGCTGACAGGTAGGGTCAGCTGAGTACTCGACGTCGCGGCCTCCATGGCCGCCAAATCCATCATCCTTTTCCGCTCAGCACCCACAGCGCCTCCCGAGGAAGGAGCCATGGCACAGTCGAGACAGACTTAGCCACCGAGCCTACCTACGGTGTTGTCCAGCTTGGAACTCGCGGAGTTCCTGTCTCGGGCCCAAGCTGCGTGTTCTCACGCCTTGAGCCGAACCTTCGAGCCTTGAGGGTTAAGGATGGGTTTTAAGGGAAATCAAAAGTCACTGGAAAACACTGACGTCCGATCATATCCACAATCACGTAGCCCCAAGTTAAAGCTCAAGTGAAGTCAAACGGAATCAGCAATCGTTCAGTCTCCAATCTCAGCGCATCAGAAGTGAAGCTGCAGAAGATGCCAGATGTTTTCAATCGGTGCGTCGAACTGATGCCTGTACCTCGAAGCGATGCGCCACATGTTCACATGACGGTCGCAGTTGCCTGGAGACCCCCCCCGAAGGAAGGCAGCCAGTCCGACATGTGAAAAATCACCACGGTGTCTTGCTCGATTCCTTCTCCCGGCGAGACATCGCCGACTCCCTAGAAACCAAACGCTGCAGGCTGACACGCGAATCCAAGAAAGCACTTCTGGAGTGAACCATGAAGGAAAATGTCAAGCGGCAGATCGTCCAGCTTCCAAGGAACCCTCAGCTCCGGGCAGAAACTCGAAAAATCGTGGTTGGTGATGGCATCCGACAAAGTGTTCTCATCTCTGGGCCTCCACTCTAGCGTGAGCTGCTTGTTCACTTTATGAAGCGCCGCTGCACAAGCCATCTAAATGCCCATCAACGGCCACTTGGTGCTCGATCCCTTCTTCTGCAGCTGGCCAGTCGAAGAGTTGTCAGTTCCTCCGCAAATCACAGTCCGGATGTTGTCGTGCACTCCCGTCGTCTCCTTTTCCAGATGATCAAACACCCTGAGAGCTGCAAGCGAGGCCAGCAACTCCGCACTCGTCGATGCCCACTGGCTGTCGCCGTCCTCCTTGAAAAGGCAAGGCAGATCCTGTTGCCCCACATCGAGGCAGAACCAACGGGCCTTCGACGGATCCGCCCCATTCTCAAGCGAGTAGCCCCCGAGCACCACCAAGCCGTTGGCACATTTCGCATCAGTCCTGAAGCTCTCTCGAGGCGCCCGCCAATCCTGAAGCACACTGTGAAGTCCCCTGGAATCCGCAAGCTGCTCCCTGATGTACACAAGCGACACGAAGACCATCTCCGGGATCCTCGCCACAGTCCCCTTCTGCAAGACTGCGTCAAAGGCGTACAGCGGTGCAAGAAAAGGCTTGATCCACGTCAACACCCTGGAAACGAAGGAGAGCCGCCCAAGGAATTCGGCAAAGCGCCGACCCGTGATGAACCAATTGTTCGCCTCGGCGTTATCAATCCAATCAAGAACCCAGCGCGTCCTCTTGAGCGAAATCCCAGCGGCACTCTCCCGGTACGAAAGCCAGTAGCACACGAACTCGCACTCAACACCACCGTGAAACTTCCGGTAAGAAAACGGCGTGCCCAGCACCTCGAAAGCAGGCAACGACTGAAGGGGCCGTGAAGGCGGAGTACGGCGAGGGGCGACTTCTGGTGGCCGCCATGGGCGCCATTCTGAAACCAAGTGGTGACGTCCGCCCTCTACACGACGCCGCCCACGGCGTTCGCTTGAACAATGGTATCAGAATTGCGGACAAACTCGAAGTGCCTGGACCTGCAGAAATCATCGAGACCGTGTCCAGGGCGCGGCAGGATTTTGGTGTCCCCTTTTCCATTGCGGCGGACGTTGCTAAGGCACACAGGAGGTCCAAAATACGACGACGCGACTGGCCCTTGCTGGGCTGCCGGACTTCGTCGGCGTCCAAAGTGATTTGGTTCATGTAATCATAGGTATATATGTATACATATATACACATACATACGTACATACAAAAATACATATGTACATTTGTGCATACATGCATATGCATATACATATACAGCCGCTTCGGCAGATGGATTGAATCCACATGGGATCCTATTGCACGTCTCGTGACAGCCTATCCTATGAAGAAAAAGAAACATGGCCCAAGTATCTGCGCCAGGATTTATCAAGATGATTGCTCCGTGTCAGCCTCACATAGCCTTGTAGCAACTCCAATCAGAAATCCCGCTTGCGGAAACGGTCCCTCGGCCGGAACACCTGTGGTGCCGTCGGAAGAGGTGAGTCGAAACCCACCGGCATCCCCTCTGCATAACACTCCTTCCCCTGCACAAGTATCTTCCAGTCAGTAGCCTCAGCGACTCGGCCAGCAAGTACAAGTAGAACGGCTGCCGCTCAGGAACACACAGCAGATCCGACGATGCCCCCGGGATAGTCTTGATGATTCTCTGCCTCAGCTGCTGCAATGCCGACTCCGTGAAAGGGGAATTCTTCACATGGCCCGTCGCGAGGCGGAACGCCATGTCCTTGGGGTCTTTCAGCTGATCAATCACAAAGTCTCGAAGCAGTCCGCGGATTTCTTCCGCATGTGCAACCTCATCACTCGACCCAGAGCATCCGGCGCTGCCTGTAAGTGTCTGATGGATCCTATCTGGCGCTGATAGGGGGGCGCTGACAGGATGTACCACATTAGGGGGGGCGCTTCTATCAGCCTCTGATAGGACCCAAAGATAGAAGACAAAAACCGGCCGGAAAGTAATTTCCACGAAAAAATGTATTTACCAGCGGGGGTCTATCTATCTATCTATCAAAACTTTATATATATATATATATATATTTATTTATTTATTTTCCAACGAAACTTCCGTTAGCGCGCGTTTGGGAAACCCTAACTGCGCTGCAGAGGAACCCTGTGCAAAACACTCTCTTTTTTCTCCTAGCGGACATGGGGGGTCAGTTCGGGCCCGATCTTCGGGCACTGACGGAAAGATGCCACTGGCATCTTGGTTCAAAACTCGACCGCTGGTCGATGGTAAGGCGAACGACTGGTTCACCCCCCCCTACCAGGGAAAAACCCGTACCACGGGAAGGTAAGGTGAAACATTCTCTGACCTACTGGGTCACTGCAGCTACCAGTTGCTACTCTGTAGTCTGACGGCCTACGGCCTATGTACAAGGGCGCACTCTGTGCTGACGCCTCTCTGCGGGAGAGAACTTAGGAGCGCTGCTCCTGGCAGCTCTGCTGCCGACGCGGTGTCCCAGACCCCGCATACTATACAGGGTGTGGCGGGTGGGATAAAAATTTTTTGGATCACAGATCCAACTCCAAGCCGAAAGCTGCACGGCAAAGTTTGTCTAGTGTCACTCACACACAAGTGAAAACACTGTTTTCCTTTTTCGACAAACTTTGTCTACACTTTCGGCGGAAAATAAAACCCATTCACGCACGCATGATGGATGCTTATTTTCCAACGAAACTTCCGTTAGCGCGCGTTTGGGGAACCCTAACTGCGCTGCAGAGGAACCCTGTGCAAAACACTCTCTTTTTTCTCCTAGCGGACATGGGGGGTCAGTTCGGGCCCGATCTTCGGGCACTGACGGAAAGATGCCACTGGCATCTTGATTCAAAACTCGACCGCTGGTCGATGGTAAGGCGAACGACTGGTTCACCCCCCTTGAAGGCACTCGAAGCCTTACTCACCCCCCATCTAGTCCGCGCCGAGTGACAAAGCCAACGGCACTGCGTTGGGCGGCAGGTATTGGCGCGCTGCGCCTAGCCGCTCGGTCTCTTCCCACCAGTCTCTGCTGGGGCCATCAGCGATGTTGCTGTCTGTCGGGACTCGGAAGAAAGCAGCCCTGCACTGCAGAGACTCTTCAAAGTCCACCGCCTGCGAGACTATCGCTGCGCCTTCTACCTTGCGTGTAAAGGCTTTGTGTAAGGAAGTACGCGCTGCGTCGTTATCTATCCACACGAACAGGTCACTGCCTGCTATATGCTTGGCCCACAGTTGAAGGCTAAGCAAATAGGGCAACAGCTCGCACTCGTAGACCAACTGCTGCTTCTGTGCCCTGGCGACCCACTGGGCTGCAACCTGGCTGCTGATCTGCAGCCCCCAGGTGAAGGCGATGCCTTCTCCAATGAGCACTGCTCCGAGGCCACACTTGGGCACAAGACGTGGGGTCTCCCACTCGCAGGCCCCGTCGATGTACAGATGCACCTTCCTGCGCGCATGGATGGACACTGTCCTGGGCGGTCCGTGCACTACTCGTTGCAGCAGGAACGCCATGGCTTGGCACTGCTGCTCGGTGAGGGGGACTTGCTCTGGTCCATCCCCAAGGACGTCGCCTACGCAGATCACTGCCATGCGAGTATTGCGACCCCAGGCTTGCTGCTCAGCGAAGATGAGCCTGCCGCGCAGGCTCTGCGCTTCCAAGGGGACATGCTGCCCCGGGCGAGGGCCTCGCTGAGGACCAATCCCAGCTCTGCTGCACGGGTCGGCTTGTTACTCACGGAGATTTCTCCAAGGTGCTGCTTAGACAAGTCGACTCGCACGCCTAGCACGTCGAAGACTTCGCTGAAGTCGGCGTTCTTCTTGGGCTCTGTGGCCACTTGCCAGCCCAGCTTGTTAAAAAGGTTGGACACTGCCAACGTGACGAGCTTCGAATGCGCGCTGCGCGTAAGAACGGTGAAGTCGTCGAAGAAGCTCGTCATGACCAAAGCAAGCTTTTCGCGGCCGATGGCTTTTAGCGCCTCGCTGCAGCGGAGGAAAGCGTGCACGGCGGCCACTGCGCCGAAAGGCATGCTGTGTAGGTGGGCTATTTTGACCTTCCCACTCTGTGGGTCCACCATGACGATGCACGCGAATTTCTTGTGTGCGGCCTGCACTGCAAGCTGCTTGTAGGCACTCTTGAGGTCCCAGGTCCTGCCTACGATGCGGTGGGCCCGCTCTGCGGGCACACCCTGGCGCAGCCACTCGAGGCACACGGCAAGGAGCTCGTCGATGCTATCGACTTGGACCTTCTCTGTGGTCCCGCAGCAGCTGTTGATAAAGCTGCTCTTAAAATTATCAATGGGGCGCACCTTGCCCTTTTGCACGACACCGAAGCGAGACGATACTATCGTCTCGTGCAGACTTTCCGGCGAAAAGTCCTCCAAAG